TCTATCTATCTATCTATCTATCTATCTATCTATCCATCTATCTACTGTATATCTATCTATCTATCTACTGTCTGTCTATCTATCTATCTATTTATTTATTTTTATTTATTTTATTTATTTGATTTGCCAATTGTTTACAAGATAATAAGTATAAGTGTATACATGGTTGTGAATACATGAAATGGGTACATATAAGAAAAAATAAAAGAATAAGAGAAACAATAGGATAGGGACGGTAGGCACGTTGGTGCGCTTATGCACGCCCCCTACAGACCTCTTAGGAAAGGGGTGAGGTCAATAGTAGACAGTCTAAGGTTAAAATAGATGGAGGTGAGACCAATCAGAGGTGATATTTACTGGTTCTCCAAACTACTCAACGTTTCCGCTACCGGTTCTCCAGAACTAGTCAGAACCTGCTGAATACCACCTCTGCTTTTTAAAATATAGTTTCTAAACTGTGACAATTAACAGCAATGTACTCTATTGGTTTTTTAAAAAAATCATTTCCCCCTTAAATTGACTTATAAGCCCAGTGGTGTTATAATAATTAAGATTATTTCTTCTTTCCAAAGATGATGTTTGATGTTGATATTTCTCCCCCTAATTTCATGTAGATCATAATTTTTCATTTTACAGTAATGGCTGAATTTCCACTGATGTTGCACTGGTGGGCAGCTTTAGGTATGTTTGAACAATTACGATTTTTATCACCACAAACAGTAAATCTATAATTTTGATAGTTAGGAAGCATCACTCTACTAAAACATATCATTTAAAAAGAAATAGGGAAACAAGTCAATTCATACATCTTTACCTCTCTCTGTATTTGCAACTGTAATCTCAGCATGATTCTTCAATCATAAATCACACAAATATATATTTATATAAAATATATTTGACATTTTATTGAATGCTAGAGCTTTGGGAGCTTAAATTATATGGAAAGACAGACACGCAGTACGTGTCTGATATAAATAATACTGATAAATATGTGCAGAATGGAAATTCTAGACTTTCATATTTGTGTCATAATATTGGATGCAAATGCATATGTCACATGGCAAATTTGATTACTTTTGGTTAATGGCTGGATGAGAAATCACCACAAAACCAAAGGTATAAGGAAGCTTTAAAAATGTATAATTTTATATTAATTTTTAATTTATTGACAATAAATTACAGGTTCATAGAGTCTTCAGGAATTGAGCTTAGTCAGGGGGAAATATTAACTTTTTATTTTTATTTTATTTATTTAACAAATTTCTATACCATCCATCAGACATGATTCTGGAAGATGTACACGTAAAGCAATAAACCCATATAAAATCTGTGGTTAAAAACAAAAATAAACCTGAGTTAGAAAGAACAATTGCAAAGTTAAAAGGCAGAGGAAATGCCTTCAGATCACCAGTTCTCCCCAGAGTAGCATGACATTCCTGGACAAATTTCAGATAATCAGAGTTGGAAGGGACCTTATAGGTCATCTAGTCCAAGCCCCTGCCCAAGTGGGAGACCCTACACCATTTCTGACAAATGGCAGTCCAATCTCTTCTTGAAAGTCTCAAGTGATGGTGCTCCCACAACTTCCGAGGGCAAGCTGTTCCATTGGTTGATTGTTCTCACTGTCAGAAAGTTTCTCCTTATTTCCAGATTAAATCTCTCCTTGTTCAGTATTGTCTGGCCTTCGAGTGCTTTAGAAAATAGCCTGACCCCTTCCTCTCTGTGGCAGCCCCTCAAATATTGGAAGACTGCTATCATGTCTCCCCTGGTCCTTCTCTTCACTAGACTAGCCATGCCCAGTTCCTGTAACTGTTCTTTGTATGTTTTAGTCTCCAGTCCCCTAGTCATCCTGGTTGCTTTTCTCTGCACTTTTTCTAGAGTCTCAACATCTTTTTTATAATGTAGTGACCAAAATATATATAAGTGGGGACATTCTGAAGTTGATCCTGTGTTGGTTATGCTAAAGTCAGTACAAAATTCTTTTTTAAAAAAGACTGTTAGAATAACGACAGATAAATTATCTAAACACATAAAGGTTCATATAAACATTTACAAATTTCCCACTTTGAAGTAGTGAGAGTTCTGTCCTGGTAAGATGTTGAGTGTTCTCAGGAAAAAAAATACTAAACCCCAAACATCAGGGCTAAAATTCTAGAGTTCCCTAGAAAGAAATAACAAATGATATATATAGTATGGATATGTGAAACATATTTATCAAGATTTCCTTAATTATACTCAACAGAATAACATAACGCTTGGAACTGGTTCTGCAGGCATACTTCAGAATGAAAAGAGTCAGATATAAAGTAAATGGTGACATTTATCGTATTTTTTCTTCCTGAACCTGAAAAGAAAGAAAGAAAGAAAGAAAACTCCTTAAAAACAGAAAAAAGCAATAGCCTAAATAAGAAACATATTTCTATTCAGTACAACACACTAATGTCTGTACGCATTACAAATACTATGTACACTCATATAGTTTTCCCCGCTTTCTTCCTATATAGGTTCTGGCCTCATTTTAATGATTTGCAGTGGTCAATGTTTGGCTTTTTATCTGTTCAAGGACAATTTTATTTATCCTGTTCTTGATGATTTCTGAAATATTTTGTTCAGTGTCTCCATTATCTTTTTAACAAAACATGCTTGGATCAGCATGTAATTTTCTGAAGAGTAGAATCAGAAACACTTCCATTATCTATTATTATTATTATTGGTGCTATTCAGAGATTTTTTAATATATACTCTGTAATTGTTCAACTTATTTTATAGTTATACGTGCCATTTCCAAGGTTTTTTCTTTGATTAAAGCTGGAAAGAGATGGAAAGAATATTTAAAGATAAAGTTTTGCTCCAGCACATAACAATGAATTTAGTCTGCTTTTAATTAATTAATTAGTTTATATCCCACCTTTATTATTTGTATAAATACCTCAAAGCAGTGAACATACCTAATATTCATTCCTCCTTCTATTTTCCACTGAGCAACAACCCTGTGAGGAGAGTTGGCCCGAAGTCACCCAGCTGGCTTTCAGCCTAAGGGAGAGACTCACAGTCTCTCAATTTTTAGCCAAGGGCCTTAACCACTAGACCAAATTACTGGTAATTGATTACTATGAATGTTTTTAACCATATTTTGGCAGAAACAGGTTTTGTGAGTGTGTGTAGGAAATTAATATTGACAAATCCATACCAGAATGTGTTAACTGTTAGGGGTGTGGCCACATTCTAAATTAAAAGATTTTTACAATGTGCAGATCTTTACCACAGATGTGTGTGTGTGTGTGTGTGTGTTGTGGTTCCTTTATTAACACGGTGGGTCTCTGCACCCTACTATATAAGTAATAATTAATAAAACTGTGATGATATCTCAGATATTATTTATTTATTTACTTTCTTTTGTTATCCCTCCTTTATTATTTTTTAAATAATTCAAGGTGGTAAACATACATAATACTCCTTCTGCCTCATATTTTCCCAGTGGATTGGGGAAGGAGGGAGGGAGAGAGGGAGAGAGATTGTCTCAAGTCAACCAGCTGATTTGCATGCCTAAGGCGAGACTAGAACTCACAATTTCCCAGTTTCTAGCCTGGTATCTTAACCACTACTAGACCAAAAACTATAGTTCGAGTGTAAACCACATGCTCTATATTCAAAACATTCACGTTCAATCTATTTTATCTATAGTTTAAAAGAATTAAATAAAAAAATAAAGGAATGAATTATTAGAAATTGAAAAAAAACTCTATTTGAGATTAGTGTTAAACAGAATATATTGGACCTTGCAGACAGCCTGGGAAAAGAAAACATCACATTCTACAGATTTTGAAAAACAGGCACAATTTAGCCAAATAAGCAATTTATTAAAGCAAATTGTTAAAGCAATCAATATTATTCACAGTTTATTTTTCCCATTAGTGAATCCAAAGCAATTATGCATTTATATTTATAGTATTATTCACTTTTTCCTCTCCTTAAGGGAATACTCCAAGTAACTTATAAAATCTAAGAGTGATCAAAATAGCAGTTACTATTCACAATAATTATACCATTAAACATGCAATAGGCATTACATTAATTGGAAAAAGCACCTGCTCCCAAACGTATAACAAAATCTGGAATGAGAAAAGTGTTTTCCAGAACTGGAAGAACTTCGTAAAGACAATAGATAAGCCATTATTATTATCTACATATGGGTTGCACTGCAGAAGGCTATAAAGAAGCAACTTAGGTGGATGTAGAGTGTAGATGTGCAAAAGAAAGCAAGATTGTTCCACATTTATATTCAAGTCCCTCAGGCATTTTTGGCATGGAAAGCTAAATCTTAATTTTGCTGTCTAAGGAATAATTAAAGGAATAAGGAGTCAGGGAGTTTGATACCTTTGAGTCATTGTTGACTCCTGAATCAGTCCCTGCAGTTTTTCCTGGCAAGATTTTAGAAATGGTTTGCATTGCTTCTTTCCTAGGGCGGAGAGAGAATGAATAACCCAAGATCATGCAACTGCATTTATGCAAGATGGAACTAGAATTCACAATCTCCTGTTTTCTAGCCTGGTGCCTTAACCACTACACCAAACTGGATCTCAGTTAAAGGAATACAAGATCTCTTATCTAGGACCTATATTATTCAAAGGGCCTTTTTTAATATAGAAAATATATACATTCAAACAAATATATATATAACAAGAATATCAATCTTATATTCTATAGACAAATATAAGGATTGATGGTTCAGTGGACTACAATCCATTTAATAGATAAATAGTTCACAAACACACACACACACAGAAATAAATAAAAGATTTTAGATATTCAACAAATACTTGCAAACAGTATGAAAGATATTATTCAGAACCATTTAAAAAACTGATATAATTCATCAGGCGTGTTTGACACAGGTCAATTTATAACCTTTTAAAATGTGCTTTTTAAATAATAAATGCCCCACTGGATAATCAAAATGTCTCTATTTTATTATACATAGAAATCCTGACTTTTTAAAAACTGTTCAATTTAACTGTTCTTAATAATATGTTAAAGGCCCAATAAAATACAGGAATTAAACATGTATCTGAACTTTTCTTACTATGTATATATAAAATGCCAGGTAAACATAGAATCCAATCTATTCATTCTCTGAAAATAAAATGGGTCAGTAATTTAATTACAAAAGACTTTGACCTTAAAAACAACCCATCTAATTATAGTTATAGTTAGAAGAATCCATTGACCTTGAGGTCAACATATCTGCCTGCTGCAGAATGCTGTTAGGATTAATGAAGATATGTTTATTACTTTGAGCTTTTGATTAATGAATGTAGAACTTTGGTACTTTGGGATTTGTATCTGGACTGCAAAATCCCAGATGACCATTAGCTTGTATTATATCTTCCCATTTAAGGTGGAAGGACATGACAATATCTATCTGTGGATATTTTTACCCCACTCTTTGGGCTGCTTATTGTACTGCTCTTGCTGTACTATGGCAATTTTCCCCAGTGTCAATTCTCTTTTTCATCTCCCCATTTATTACTGCTGGAGTAAGAATTTTGTATGAGATACTGTAGCACTGATTATATTAATGGGATTATGAATATTATTTCTTAGAAGCTTTTAGGATTGTTTTCCTTCATAAAGCTTCTAGAACTGCAAACATCCAGATAATCAATAGGTGGCAACAGATACAGGAAAGTCTAATTCTTTGGCTCCATCTGGTGGTTATCTGATTTTTACAATCCAGATCCTATCGTTTCAAAGCTAAGGCAGTGATTTTCTATAAAATCATACAGAAATAAAATCTGATTGAATGTATGTATTGTATAGGATTGCACCATTAGTGCTAAACAAGAAGGTTGGAAATGGCACATATAACTGTGTACATAATTCCAATTATTTGTCCCACCGTTTAAATGTTTATGTAGTTTTACAGACTTTTAATGGATTATATTATTGCATAAATTAATCTACGAATTAAGCAGGTACTTATTTTTAGCAACAGTATCTTTCTTTTTTAATCAGCAGCTTCACTAGCATTGCTATGTAGACTCAGAGCTGATGTTGTTTTCATTAAGAAATTCCAGTTTTAACATGAGAAGTATAAATACTGTACTTTAGCTAATATGCAACCAATGATTTAATACATTCAACAGCTAAGGACTATAGAAGCAGTTACAAGGATCATTCTAGTCCAGGGGTCTCCAACCTTGGCAACTTTAAGATTGGTGGACTTCAATTCCCAGAATTCCTCAGCCAGCTTTGTTAGACTTCAATTCTATGCCTGCTTACTCTCTTGTAATCCTTTCCTCTGCAATCTCTCCACTCTAGGGAGTAGGAGAAAAAAAACACCCAACAGGCGTAGTTGAATGGGGAATTCTGGGAGTTGAAGTCCACAAGTCTTAAATTTGCCAAGGTTGGAGACCCCTGTTCTAGTCCAATCCTCACCAACATGTAGGAAAACCAATTAAACTATTTTTGAGAGGTGGCATGCAAACTTTTCTTCACTGTTGTTACTGGATATGTAAATTTAATAACACCTTAAAAGTTGCACTTGAGAATAAATGCGGAAACAGTGAAAAAGTATAAATTTTTATCAACGTCAGTAAGAATGTTTCAAGTCAAGTTACAAAGGGACAAGAGAATTCTTGAATGGACCATTCTCATAAAATACATGTACTTCCTATGATCATTTTTATTTTATTTTATTTGGTTTGTCAATTGCTTACAAGATAATAGGTATAAGTAAAAACATAGTTATGAATACATGGATACATATAAGAAAAATAAAAGAAACAATAGGACAGGGACGGTAGGCACATTGGTGCGCTTATGCACGCCCCCTACAGACCTCTTAGGAAAGGGGTGAGGTCAATAGTAGACAGTCTAAGGTTAAAGTTTTTGGGGTTTGGGGAAGAAACCACAGAGTCAGGTAGAGTATTCCAGACATTGACCACTCTGTTGCTGAAGTCGTATTTCCTGCAATCAAGTTTGGTGTGATTAACCTTGAGTTTGTATCTATTGTTTGCTCTTGTATTGTTATGGTTGAAGCTGAAGTATTCATTGGCAGGTAGGACATTGCAATGTATGATTTTATATATTATACTTAGATTGGACCATCATGGAACAGTAATTTAAAAGCACATCTTAAGGTGATATCAAACTTTGATGAATGATCATGACAAGTGCTGGGGTGCTGAGACAGCAATCCAGTTGAGGTAATCCAGCATTTCTTGAGAGCTGGAGAGAAGTCCAAAGTTCCATCTTTTACTCCATCAACATTCATCTTTAAACAAGAAGAGATACTGTATGGAAGATCTGAATGATTAAGAAAGAGAATATGAAATGCTTATGCTGCTAAAATAAAGTTTTTAAATGTACAAGAACTCTCCAATATTGTTGGGTTGTGTTCACTGAGTTTGGTCTAATGCTGCATAAAAGATTCCTAATTCTGTAACAGAGTTACAGAATCTATCTATGGTAATCTATTAGAAACTGTGCATGTGTTCATGTGTTTTAACAATTAAAATATGTTATTTTGGATATAATTTTCCTTATTAAAATTACCTTGTGTTAAAACATATATTAGAATTTTTAAAAACAAAATTC